CAGACAAGCGGTGCATCGGTGCGCGCCCAGGATCCGAACCCAGGCCGCCAGTAGCAGAGTGTGTGCACTTAACCGCTAAGCCACAGGGCCGGCCCCTGGTTTTATTTTTGTGTGTGGGTTTTTTTGGTGGGAAGATCTTTAACTACATATTTAATTTCTTTAATTGATACCCGGGTATTCAGATTATCTGTGTCTTCATAAGTGAGCTTTGATAGTTTGTGTCTTTCAAGAAACTTGTCCATTTTTATCTAAGTTGTCAAATTTACTGCCATAAAGATGTTCATACTACTCCTTTATTTTCATTTTAATGTTTGTAGAACCTGTGCCCGTCCTCCTCCCTCATTCCTGGCATAGGTCATTGGGGTCCTCTCTCTTTTTTCCTGATAAAAATGGGTAGATGTTTATCAATTTTATTGACTTTTTTTTCAAAGGACAAGGTTTGATTTCACTGATCTCTCTTGTTTTCTATTTCTATTTCAGTGATTTTGGCTCTTACATTTATTAGTACTTATTTTTTCTATTTACTTTTGGTCTCATTTACTCTTCTTTTTCTAGTATATAAAGGTGGGAGCTTAGGTCACTGAGTTGAGAACTTTCTTCTCATCAAAAGTGGTTAGTGTTTTTAAAAATTCATTTTCCATCTAAGTACTGCTTTAGATGCATCGCACAAATTTTGATGTCTTGTTTTCATTTTCATTCAGTTAACCACTTTTTCATTTCCCTTTTGATTTTTTGTTTGATCTACATTTTAGTTTGAATTATGTTGTTTAGTTTTCAAATATTCAGGGGATTTTCCAGATGTCTTTATATTATTGGTTTCTATTTTACTTCCATTGTGGTCAGAGAAATACTTTGTACAATTTGAATTCTTTTAATTTTATTGAGATTTGATGTATGGCCCAGACTATGGCCTGTCTTGATAATGTCCCATGTGCACTTGAAAAGATTGTGTATTCTGCTGTTGTTGGGTGGAGTGTTCTATGAGTGTCAGCTCAAGTTGGTTGAGTGTTAAGTCTTATATATCCTTACTGATTTTTCAGATTTGGAAAATTTTCAGTTATTTCTTCAAAAAAATGTTTTGTTACCTCTCCCCCTTTCATTCTGTTTCTGTGACTTCAGTGTGTGTGTGTGTGTGTGTGTATGCACACACGTATGTGTGTGTTGTACGTGCACGTGTGTCTCTTCCTTTTTGTGTTTCATTTTGGTGGTTTCTATTGTTATGCGTTCAAGGTTACTCATCTTTTACTCTGCAATTTCTCATCACTTGTTCATCCCACCCAGCGTAGTTTTCATCTCGACACTGCAATTTTCATCACAAGAACACTTTGGGTCTTTTTGTCTTCCATGTCTCTCCTTAGCATGCTCAATCTTTCCTCTACCCATTTGAACACATGAAGTATATTTATAATATGTTTCAATGTTCTTGTTCAGTAATTCTATCATGTGTGTCATTTCTGGGTTTGTTTCTGCTAATTTTTTCTCTTCATTATGAGATTGTACTTTATACATCTGGTAATTTCTATATCAGGCATTTTGAATTTTATGTAACTAGGTAAGAATTATATATGTATATATGCATACAAGTAATATGTATAACATACATTTTTTATACACACCTTTTTTTCCTGGGATACAACTAAGTTACTTGGAAACATTTGATTCTTTCCAGGCTTTTACAGTGTGTTAGGCAGAACCAGCTCAGCCTTTAGTTTTGGGCTAATTTGCCCCCACAGTGGACACGATACCCTTCCAAGTACTCTTCCAAATGCCCCAGCTACCACCAGCTGCATCTGGCTGGTGGGAGTGTTAACTCTTCCTGGCCCTGAGTGAGCTCGAGGACATGGTCCACTTGCTTCTTTCCAGTGGTTCTGTACTTGGCCTTGGTCGTTTCACAGGCATTTGCTGATCACACTCAGCTGGACTTGAGTAGCGCCCTGGACAGGCAACAGGGCTCTTTCCTCTCCAGTACTCTGCCCTGCGAAGTCTAGCTGTCTTGGCCTTTCCAAATTCTCAGTTCTGTTTCCTCAGCTCAAGGAGACTGCAACGCTGTGCGAGTTCCTCTCCCCATGGAGAGCCTGCAAACTTGCTGCAGGCAGGAAGCCAGGGCAACGCAGGGCTCCTGTCTGTCTCCCTCTTCTGAGATCTGTCTTGTGTGCCTCGTTTCCAGTGTCTGGAAGCCATCCCCGCCGCCCACCAAATATCTTGTCTGATTTTTAGTTGCTTAAGACAGTGGGAAAACCCAGTCCTCGCTGCGCCATCTTGTCCAGAAGTGGAAATGGCTTGTTGGACTTTGAATATCTCACAGATGTTGTTTCTACTCATTAATCAATAAGCATATATTGAGGCGGGCCTGTCCCCCTCACTGGGAGGGAGCAAATCCCCACCCTCCATTGGAAGTCAGGAAATCTTGCATTCACAGTCAACAGCCAGTTTTCATTTCATTTTTTACACACTGACCAGGACAGAGAATCCTACTCCCATGAATTTGTAAGGCTTCTAGTATCTCAAAAGCTACTGTAAGCATCTTTAAAGCTAAATTAACTTCACTAAAAAAAGGAAAAGGTACAACTTGTAATACTTGAGGCATAAATACTTGGAAATGAAGAACACCCACCATATCTTGGGTTGGAAACTAATGGGTTAGGAACGAAAAACTCCTTGTTCACTTTCAGAGGGAGAACTCGAACTCTCCAGCTTCCCAGCAGGTCAGATGGTTCCCCAAAACGCATCCTGGGGTTTGCCCTCATTAGCACGTGCTTCCCATGCTGGCTGCAACTTGCGTCCTTTGAAGGTTCCCTGAGCAAGGGTGCCACAGAGGAAATGGAGGTGGGTTTTGAGGAGCATCTGAATAGCCCCCACCCCCTCTTGCATTAGAAAATACAGAGCCGCTTTGCTGCTGTGGCAGCCCCCACTCAATCTCTCTCCAGGGAGTTGGCCTTCCAGTTCTCCTCTCCCCAGTGAGGCCAGGAAAGGGCCTCACAGCAGAACAATGTGCAGCTTCACACCTTCTGTCAGCTTTGCTGAAATTGTAGATTTTGCCATGTAACTAACTTTGCTGTAAGAGCCAGAAGGATATTTCTGAGCTACATATGGAAAGCAAGAAAATAATCTGAATCCTGCAGCATCACGATGATGAATGTGTTCAAGTCTTAGGGGAAAATGAAGGAAATCGGATCAACGTGGTTTTGCATCATTTGCAAAATGACTTCTGCAAAATGCACACCCAATTTTTTTTTTATGAGAATGGGGAAATACAATCAGTACCTTGAAGCCATGTGAAAAATATACCAGGAGCTTCAGTGTGATCAATAAGGGCAGACCTCCTCAACCAGGAAAAAAGAGGAATCAGCACAGGAAAATAAAGCAAGCAATCTGAGTGACCTCTTAGAAAAGGCCCTTCTCATGTGTTAATTCAAACCTCTGGCTCTCTCTGGAGGAGCCTGTGGCTGTTCTGCCAGCCAGACCTGAGTGAAGAGTGGTGTGAAGTGCAGCTGGCCTGCTCGGCGGGACTTCCACAAGCCCTTTACACCCCCCGTACACACTGCTCTCCAACACTCTCGTGATGACATTTACAATGGCATTTTTATTTATATACTGCAGTATCTTTTGAACAGTGCTTTGCAGTTAGTGGAGTCTTTCCATATACTGGTTTTACCTGAGACAGGGAGTTGAGAAGGTGTCACATCTCTTGCAGATGAGGAAATGCAAGTTTCAGAACCAAGAACGGTTGAGTGACTTGGCCAGTGTCCCAGGGAAAGGACCTAGGCAAAACAAAAGGCTTCTAATTCCAAATTCAGTGTTCTTTCTGCTGGAACGTGCTGCCCCCCAGGCCTGGTGGGAGGTTCTGGGGCCAGTTCTCAGGCTAATGCTTCGTGATTGTTCTTTGTTCTTCACTCAGCACCCTTCGTGCCCACCTGCCGTGCACAGAGCTTCGTGCTAAGGTTTCCCACGAAGACAGCAGGGTCTAGAACACAGGACTGGCCGGCGTAGCCTCTGGGGACTTATGGGAATGCTGGCGTGGTTTTCTCACAGTTCCTCATTACTGCTGGTCTCATTTGGTACTTACTTTGCTAACTATATTTTTGCAAGAATCAGCATAAATCAGGTCAGTTAATGTAGAGATGGGCAAAAACTGCTAAAAAATGTTGCTGGGATTGGTCCTCATAGCTGTTAACTCTGGGGGTGCCTGGCTTTACAGTGTCGCTGTAGTCATGAGAGCAGTGGTCCAGGGCTTCAGGCTTTCAAAGCAGCTGTGAAGGTTGTAACAATTGCTTGCTGAGATGGCTTGTCGAGTGTTTCATGGCTAAGCCTTTAACACAGAGTTTATTAACTAGAGATTAACAGTAGTGATTTTTCTTATGACCAAACCATTGAAGGAAATTGACACTAATTTATTTCCTTGAAAAATGAAATGCAAAAAACAAATTTATCAAATGACCTGATATTTCCTGCACTGATTTCCAACCCCACCCCCAGTTCAGATTGAACCAAATTGGAAATTTAAACCAAATGATTATGTATTATACATTTTCTAGTTAAGTGACTTCTATTTCTCAGTCTTCTAAATTCAGAGTACATCAGAGCAGTGTGGGTCTTGATAAAGCATACATATACCAAGATGTCAAAGGGCAGTGCGGGTAGGTCTGGAGGCTCTTTGGCTACATTCAGTTCTCAGTTGTCCTGGAGTGTCTTATGCAGGGTGTGCAGCGTCTGGTACAAGTCACCCTGAGTTATCCACAGCCTGGACTGCCTACTTCACAGTAGAGGCCCGTGCTCAGGCCCCTACCACGGCACTGCAGGGGCTACAGGGTGACAACTGGTATCCTTCTGAGACTGTGATGCACGTAATGCTCCCGTTCAACTGTGTGAACCAAGATCTGGCATAGAGCAGATATTTAAAAATTGTTTTTGATGTGACCAAAATTATACATAGAAAAAAGAGAAGCACACCAATATTTTACTTTAAAGTCTTTTTTTTCCTTCCCTAACTTTTCACAAAGGATTTGCTGTAAGCCTTCAAGTCATCTTGTCTAATCCAAAAGCTGTGTTTAAGCGTCGTGGATCCCAGCCAGGGATGCAAGAGTCTGACTTTCTAAAACAGATAACAACAGTCGAAGAACTGGAACCGAAAGCAAGTAACTGCACCAAGGTATTCATTTCACTTGTGCTGCTTGACCATGTAGAGGGTCAGCGTTGTGTGGCTACCAAAGGTCTCCCTCCCCTTAGGTCCTCGTGTGGCACACTCGGACAGAGAAGGTTAATCTAGCCAACGAGCCAAAGTACCACCTGGACACAGTGAAAATTGAGGTGTAAACGCAGTAGCACCTGGTGCCGCCCGCCTGGCCAGTGAACGTGGAAGAGGACACGGGGAGGCCAGGCTGCAGAGCGTTCAGGTACTGTCCTTCACTTCAGTACAACAGCCTGTCGTCACCTGATGGCCATCTGTTTACACAGAGCTCGTCAGTTGACATCAGCTAACTGGATGGTGTAAGATGTATGTTTTTGTCTTTGTTTGTTCTGCATGTTCTCCCTACAACTAAACTGGAAGACCTCTGTACAGCACAGCTCAGTGACACTGCAGGGACCACTCCGAGTATCTCGTATACTTTTCCTTCCCCAATTTGGCCTTATAATTGGTAGAACTGAACAGGTTTTAGAAACAGCTTACAGGTATTTCATCAACTAAATGTTCCCATCCCTGACTTTGCAATGTTACCTAATTTTTGTAAGGTTGGTAGCAGTATACATCATAGGAAATAAAACCCACAAAAAAAAGGTCTATGGATTCATCTGTTTAATATAGGGCTATAACATTTTATCAGTACTAGGCACCATAAAATGTAAACACAATTACTGTCATAAACCTGGATATACCTTCAAGGATTGAAAGTGGCTTTGTTTAGTTACCCTGTTTGCATATAGTGCAGAGAAAGGTCTTCATGTTAGCACTGTGTATATAAGAGATCCAAATTACAAGAGAGGCAGATAAAATTTGAATTCTTTCAACATTCATTAAAGTAAGTTTTGTAGTGACATCCAGGTTTATCTTCCTTTCACTAACCACGTTCCCTGTAAGCACATCGTAACCACAGCACAGTGAGCGAATGATGAAATCAAGGAATCTGGAACACCAGGAAACCGTGCTCAGTGACACGCTTACAGTCTATTTATAGGATTACACATTTGCTCGTACAGTACCTTCCTACGGGATTACGGGCTACTTTGGGGGCAGGGTTTATACTGTTGGAGGTATTACTAACATGAGGACTGCTTCCCTCGTATGCACACAGTAGAGCTAGGATTCTATCGAGTACAACTGACTGACTGATTACGCAAGCTGACTGAGCAGCTTATCACACAATGTGCTTTATGAAATCACGGGAAATATGAGCAAAGCTGCCTGGACATGACATGCTTTCTCAACCTGCTTTTCACCACATCAAATTTAATCAGTACAGACCACACGGTCAGTCAGGTAATTCTTAATATGAACAAATGGGGGAAAAGAAAAAAATGTATGTACATGAATAAACAGGGACTAGATGCACTTCAGCAAGGAATGTCAGGTGGGTTCTGGGGGAAACTGGCACTGTGGCTTTCACTTCCACAGCTGTGTGCTGAGAGTCTGACCCGAGGAGCTTCCAGACCATCCTGCTGTTGTGTTGGGGGGCTGGCCGAGACCCACGGGAGGGCTCGCACTGCTGAGAGCCATGCCAGCCATCTGCTGATTCATCTGTGAAACATAAAAGGCTCAGTTTAAGAGGCTCACATCACTTCTAATTCTTGCTTCTTTAACCACAGGTAGACATTTTTAATAGTCACCCTATTTTATTGGAAGCTGCCTTTATTTGAAGACACACTGAAGCTTAATAGCAATTATAATAAGTATTTTTCATCAATGTGAAAATCAGTCAAAGCCCTGGGTACAAGCAGACTAAATACAGTTATTTCTCTACAGAAAGCAAAGAGCTACGTTGTTCCCATCTTAGTCTTTATTTCCTTCTACTTTTTAGCACTGTCCATAAAGAGATCTCAATATGTTCGTTTTCTAGACTCCATTTCTTGTCCCCCAAAGATTAACCACAACTGAAAAAAAGTACCAAAGCAATCTTTGACATACATTTTTTTCTTCTGCTTAGCTAACCACATAAACATCTAAAATTAATTTTCAAGATATAAGGTATAAGATGACATGTATTTTTCTTCCAGACTGGAGTCCTGTTTGTTTGTATAGAAGCATCTTAACCCTTCCCTGTGGTTCTCTTCCTTCTAAGACTGATGATAAGTGAAGGCAAGGCAAGAAGATTTACCACAAGGCAGAGCAGGTTAAAAACCTGGGCTCAGGGTTGGATTGCATTCTTGATGAAGACACTAGTATTAACCACATCACTGATCAGGCATGAGTGTCTGAAGGGGCAGATCACTTCTTCAAACTCACTAAAGGATGCTGTAACCACCTTGTGGTTGGCCAGCAGATCCCACTGAGGGGGAGTAGAGAACAGCACTCCCCTTCAGCATGACGGAGTAAGATCTCCCGCTGGCTCCTCACGGGCTCATCCAGCACCTTAACCTGAGCAGGTGAGCTTCAGCATGTTGGCTACACAAAAGCTGCTACTAACATTTCATACTTGGAATTTCTGTGATTCCCAGAGAGTGGAGACCAATGTCATACAGACATTCCTTTAAATAGTGACAGTAAAAGTCACTTGGAGCATTCACAGGGTATACAATGACGTTAGTTAGAAACCACTACAGACTATCCCCTGAATGCTCTCAAGGTAAAACAGCCGACCACAACAGAAACCCAGATCACCAGAATGCTGGAGGCACATCAAACAGCAAGTGCAGGGGAGGGGCAGCAGGAGCATGGACCTGTCTGAGGCCTTTGTTTCTGGAGCCAGAGGAGTCAGACGGAGCACCTCAGACAGAAGTGGATTTGAAAGAGGTAATACTACAACGTCATCTCCTGGCTCTAAACTAACTTAAGTAGAAACAAGATTTTATATATGAAGAGGTGTCTGACACAAATAAGGGATTGTTCATATCTTATGCGAATTCTTGAACTAGTGGTAATCTTTTTAAACATAAATATAATTATGGGGATAAGTAAAAAGGAAATACAACTTTACAACGATTTTTTTGTGTGTGTGAGAAGAATTGGCCCTCAGCTACCATCCGTGCCCATCTTCCTCTACTTTATATGTGGGATGCCGGCACAGCATAGCTTGATGAGCAGTGCACAGGTCCGTGCCCAGAACCTGAACCTGCGAACCCCGGGCCACTGAAGCGGAGTGCGCGAACTTAACCACTACGCCCCCGGACCGGTCCCCAAAGATTTTTGAAGAAAAAGATTTTTTATAAATCCATGGGCAGTAGCCATAGGACTTGGAGAACAGCCTAAATCCCTCATAAAATAGTACTTGAAATACATGAGGCTGGATTTTCTTTCTAATTTTTGAAAGTTATAAAAAACTCAAAAGTTATTAGTCAAGATAGGTTGGTCTAAGTGCACTATAAAAATGCCCGCCAGGGAGCTGAATTAGGCCTGGTGCTAATTTCAAGGGGGCAGACAGGGAGTCTCTCAGGATGCCCAAGATGACTTCTACTGTCACTCATGTTAGAATCTGAACATTCTTGGTACAGGGACAAGGACAGCTCCTTTGTCTATTTGATATAACTTCAAAATATCTATAGACAGTGTGACCTTATACAACATTATCCCCACTCAATTCTTTCTGACAGATTGTTAGATTTAAATACAAATAAAACCATTTACAAAATAAATCTAGTTTCTTTGATTTGGAGAAGTTGGAGAGTAAATGACCCCTACCTGCGAGAGGTTCCACTGAGGCTGTTGAGCTTGTGGCAGGCCAAACTTACTCTGGGGTGCGCCCATCTGTCCCACCATTCCTCCTTGGGCGCCAACAATGTTTTGAGGAAGTGGCATCACACCAGTTTGTGCATTTCCCATAAACCCATTGGGCATGGGCATGCCCACCATCATGCTTGCATTCTGTCCCATCACATTTCCTATAAGGCCAGGCGCTCCAGGCACAGGTACGCCCATCGACGGAAAACCTTGAAATGCAGTCGGTGCTTGTGAGGTAAATGGTATATTCGTGGGTCCCAAATAGACACCTGCATCATAAGCACCATGAAAAGAAAATGGATGAGGAAAACAGCTATTGTATCCAGGTGCACTCACCTCTATAATCACAGAAAAAGGATACCATATTTCTGAACTACCCACAGAAAAAATTTTAATTCCAGTCTAGCTGCTCCTACTGCTCAGACCAACTCACACCTACTCCTTCAGAGCTGGTTACTCTCAGAATGCAGACACATCAGTTATTAACCTGAGCAAGTTTAATTAGGATAAATAAGTCCTATGCAATAGCTACGGAAAATACCCACTGTGAAGACCATGAGATTAGGTGCTGTCTCTGCTGACCTGCTCCACTGGTCCCCCACTACCAGATACACAGTGAGAGCTGACTGTGTCTGGATCTAATGGAAGCAGCTGGGATGTCACACAATTTCAGCTCATATGTGAAATGTAGCTCATCATTTTAGACGAAATCGTCTGACATTAAAACTGTGTAAACAATAAATCTTACCATGCTGGTATTTCATTATAATTATTTTAAAAATCCCAAAGCTTTTTTGGAATCCATGTGATAATTCAGACTGCTTATTGTTCACTTGCAGAGAAAATACCATACTGTACACAGTTATCAACTTCATGCAAATCAAATTTAAATAATTCTTTAAAGATAATCCATGTCCTATAAGCTTGTGAAACAATGTCAAGTGATATGTGAACAGCTTGTGAATTCTAATGAATAAAGTTTTGTGAATCCTGTACATGCTTTTTAATTTTAATGCCTCATTCATTTCAGTTTTGTAGTTGTGTAAATTGCAACAACAAAAGCACCCATTACATAGACAGATAGGTAAGAAACATAATTGATAATATTTTAACCACAAAGGATATACTTTTAGTAATGTCACTACAATTCACTGAAAGTAGATTTCAAACTGAATTACCAGGAGTACTCTGCTGCTGAATGGTGCCTGTACCATACAGAGATAAGATGGAGTCTTTGGAGAGCTGTTTCTTCGCCACCTCTTCTGACTTTGTAGTTTGCTCAGTGAACAGATCCAGATCCCCAGATGTTACTGTAGACAGAGTGGCAGTGGCTGGTACGGAGGACGTCCCCTAAGACAAACACCAAAATAAGCTGTTGAATTCTGTATACTAAAACAAAGCTCATCCATTACTTAAAATCCAAATGAAGTTATGAAACTAGACAGAAATAAAACGATTGTAGAAGGTAAAATGGTGACATTAAAGAGGATCATTCCACAAGCCCACACATAAAAAAAAAAATCTAGGATAAAGGTACAATGTTTCCTATTTTGAATCTGTTCATGTAGAAGTAGATCAAAGCTCTTTCATAATCAATTGCATTTACCTGCTAGACTAAAGCAGAGGTTTTGCCCATCACATCCTGACCACAATGGTATGTGGCTGCTGTCTGAGGACCTCCATTCCTGGGAGACTCTCGGGCTCTCCCTCAGCAACTACTGCTTCAAGGAACTGGTGTCCCTTGGAATAAAGAACATTTCTACAACTAGAGCAGACTGCAACAGGGTCCTGCAATGGCTGATTTTGTCTTTTTGGGGGGTAAATAAGGGTTTTGTTTTTCAAAAGCTGCATCATGATATTTTTATAAACCTAATCTAGATCAGTTTTAACCACATTAGAATATTCAAATATTTAAAGTCTTGGCTAAAAAACCTTGCAATAAATTGCCATCCAAGTATTGTATTCACAAACTAAGCAGAACAATATTTTGAATCTATTACGACAAATTAAGCAAGAATTTTGAGATGGAAAGAAAAAGCCACTTAATTGTGCAAAAGATCTGAAATGTATAAGAAATTAGACGCGTTGGAACAGCAAATATAACAATGTGCTTGAATACAGCATATCTGAACTACCAGTGAAGATGCAGATCTAAGGCTGAAAGCGTGGGTTCCACAGCCAGCCCGCCAGGACCAAGGCTCTGGCCCCCTCACTTCCTGTCACCTGCCCTTCCTCACCCTCAATCACCTCTCTCCTGTAAAATGGGGATAAGAAGATACCTACCTTACAGAACTGCTTGGTAACCACGAGATGTGCTGTGCAGAATGGCAGGGTCAAGCACACAGTGTTTACTGTTAATGTCAGATAGAGCAACCACCTCACTAAGCGATCTTTTTCTCTTTTTCCAATATGCTTAAATTTATGTTTATTCATTCATAAGCTATATGTATACATTATGATGAAAATGCTAGGTTAAAAATACTATTTATTGAATGCAAGTTGAACGAGTAAAGTCAATTCTGATTTCTTGTTTTTTATGAGATGATTCAGATTGCAGTTTAGCCAACATATATTCATTCATTTAATAGATGTTTTTGTTCTGTTTTACCCTTTTGACCCCCTTCACCTATTTCTCCCCCTCCCACACCCCACCTCTGGCAAACACCAATTGGTTCTCTGTATCTGAGCTTGTTTTGTTGGTTTTTTTTTTTTAGATCACTAAGAGATCTTTTCGTCACATTTAGTGTCTGTTCAATCTAAGAGATAACTACAAGAAAACACAAAGTGGTTGGGAAAGCTTTACTCTAGACTCCTCCTAGAGCAGCCTGACTGATACTCACAGGCTCCAAACACGGATGTTTCTTCTGATGAAGGCAGATAATACGGAATATCTACTTCAACATGGACACAGTCTAAAACAGCCCCACCAAACAGCATGACTAGTAAGCACTCAAACGTCCATTTACTTATTTATTTTTGGCACTCCATTTGCTAGCACTAGAACTCCAGGATAAAAGAACAATTTTGCCCGTCAAGTGACACTGCAGGACCCCTACCCAAAGGCCCTCTGGCTGTCTGGGATCCTAGGGCTGAACCAAGGAGAGGCCAGAGCACTTGTGCAGGTCTAGATACTGTTGGTGTGTGTATATTACAGATAGAACAGAAAAGGATGCTTCTACATGTCACCTTTGGGGGCTCTGCAACGATTCCCCTCAACCCTCCATACACATGTGCACTCTGGTCAGCAGAGTATTTCTAACTCACTCAGGGAAGACTACACAGCCAGACGGGTAAAGCAGAACGTAAAATCAATTATCTCATATTCACATGAGTGGGAAAATCTTTTACTAGAATTTGTACTATTTTCAGAAAATAAAATCAGAAGTCAACGAATATAGGATTCAGAGTAATTCCTACTGGTGCTCAATCAAGTTCACATAATAAAAACTCACCAAAACTAGTAAATTACCAAGTACCAGTATATGTATAAAAGTGTACTTTAACCTGACTTCCCCTTCCTCCTATTTTCAAAAACATTACTTTGAAAACATGCCTGGATTTTAATCTTTACATGTAGATTGGATGACAGATAATTCTGTTTATCAAATATTATAGGGCTCAATACAACTGGCACAATTTTGGTCCAAAAGCAATATTCCAAAGAAAGAATCATGTGATTAAAAAAAATGGCCGTGTTAGTCCATCAGTTACTGATGCAGAATGCCAAAGCATGAAGGCTACTCTCACCCCCCATAAAGGCAGGACCCCACACTCCTTGTCATGGTGCCACCTAAGAGTTCAGTGAGGTCTGCACTGTTCCACTTGCTGCCCTGATACTGAACAGAACACATGAGTACACTGACGCCTCAGACGTGGGGTCTAATTCTCCAAGCAGCTGCAAAGCGATTCTCTCCCCTGCTAAAGAAGTTTAGCAGGTAAAACAGCCTCACTGGAATACCAGACCAAAAGAAACTACTTTTCATGCTCAGATTGTCAAATACCCTAAACACTTCCTTCTAAAGAGACAATACTAGCATTAGACAATTTTTTATTATCACATGCATACACCCATGCCTGCACAAATTCACAAGGTAATTAATGTTAACTGAAACAATAATGGAAACACTTAGTTCCTCTATTTATGTGCTGGGGGAGGGGGAGGAAAAGGGGCAAAGCCCTCTTTCCTGAAAATAAACATTAATGCTGCAGACAATTTTGATCAAGATCCATTTAAACTAATAATTCCTAAGAAATCCATTTGCTCAATTCTAGTGGTAATTATACAATGACTATCATAAAAACAATAAATATATGTAATAAAATATATGTAATCAGTCTTCTTAATAAGACATAGGTTCATTCTTAGCAAAACTTTCCATCCAAACAATTCCCATTTGGCTCAGTTTTTCTAGAGAAAGGAACATATTTTACCTCAAAAATTATGCTGTACTGAAACAAACTGGCTGTCTATTTATAAAGTATAAATTTAAAATAGAATCTTAAAGTTATATGCTTAAGAGTAACCTGTATTCCTGAAAGTTCATATATGTCATCTTAAAGAAAGACAAATACTGTATGATATCACTTATATGTGGCATCTAAAAAAAAGTCATACTCAGAAACAGAGAGCAGAATGGGGGGCGGGGGGGTGTTGGTAAAAGAGTACAAACTTCCAGTGAGAAGATGAACAAGGTCTGAGGATCTCATGTATAACATGGTGACTATGGTGGACAATGCCGTATTGTACAAGTGAAATCTGCTAAGAGAACAGAACTTAAGTGTTCTCACCCCACCTAAGAAAGGTAAATAATGTGAGGTGATGGATGTGTTAATTAACTTGATGGTAGGAATCCCTTCACAATGTACACATATATCAAATTATTATTTTATACACTTTAAATATATTATAGTTTTGTCAATTATACCTCAATAAAGCTAAAACATTATTTAAAGTATTAAACTATTTACAATTTAAAAACAGGCAAAAAAACATTCCATGTAATGTTAAGAAGGCAATTCAAAATTTCTTGACCATTGATACTTAAAAAAAATCCTTTATGTTCTAAATAGCTTTTAAAGAATCATTAAAATAAAAAAAGTAAGGAAGGTTTTAATGCTTAAAGGCTTTTATGAAGATCAACTTTAAACAGTTTATCTTCATAAAAAAGAATATGAGGACTGAATTTGCTAGAATTTCTTATTCTTGGTTTTCCTGCAGCCATAAGTAAACACTATCTTGGGGACGACACAGCAGAGCATAAGAACGACTGGCTGCTTGGTCAATACTGATAGAACCACAGTTTAAAAACCTCTGAAGTGAGTGGCCTTGTTGATAGCAGGCAAGGCTGAAACAGTCTGAGTTTTCCCACTTGTTCATTCTCAACACTGTTGTTTTCCTCAAGCAAGTCAGCAAACTTTAGACAGTGAATATTGAGGCTCTCTGGGTCATACAGTGTCTGTTCAACTATTGAGCTTGCTTTTGTATTGTTAAAGCAGCCACACACAACATGTGAACGAGTGGGCGTGGCTGTGTTCCAATAAAACTTTATTTACAAAAACAAGCTGCAGGCTTGGTTTGCCAACCCCTGGTCAAAAGAACAGAGGCTTTCAAAACAGTGACTGCTCAGAAACAATTCTTGCAAATTTGAAATTCTGAAACTTTCCCAAAAAGGAAATAAGCAGTGATCATGTAAAACCATATTCTTACCACATACCTGAGCTGGGGGCATGACAGATGCAGGTAAGGGATTAGAAATCATTGGTCCAAAGATGTCCAGATCATCATTCAGGGCTGGCACCGTGGTCATATTCCCGTTGGTAACTGGTGCCTCAGCAGGGCCATCTGAAAAGAACATAGATTCTTGTCTCTAAGTAGAATCTCTTAAATTACTTGAAACATGGGATTATTTTAAAAATTACTATATTGTTTAAAAAAAGAACAGTTCAAAAGGTTGACAACAAAATATACATTCCCTTTCTACCCCAGGTTCTATCCTCTTTCCCCAAAAAACCATTTTCAGTTTTGTTTATTCTCCCAGAAATATTCTTTACCCGCCGTCTCGAGGTACATATCCAAACCCCTTGTTAAGGAATGGTATCATACTCTTCACGTTACTCTGCATCTGATGCTTCCTTATGTGCCAGGCACTGTTCTGGGTACTTCATATATATTTGCTCATTTAATCCCCATAACCTTATGAGACAGACACTACTTCCAAGATAACTGGCGAAGCTGGGAATGGCTACCACGTTCTTACAGGTAACACCTCCCCATGAATGTGTGTGTGTGTGCATGAATGTTTTGGATATCGTTTCATATCAAGTCTACCTATCTTGGAAATAAATGTTGATGACTTAAAATGTCTGAAATGTTAAATTTCAAAGTTAAAATAAGGAAAAAAACTGGATAGAGAGAAAAAACAAACATAGAACTAGGTAAACTGATTATAGGAAGTATCCATGAAACTCTGCAATAAACCACAGCCACCTTCAGTGATGGCAGTATGGGAGGGGACTCTGGTAGAGTGCCAACATGCTCTATCAGCTTCCTCCTCACCCTACCATTCCTTTTTACCTCAGTGCAGAACTGACTAAGTGGAAGGGGTGGAGTTGGAGTGGAGTGTGGCGGAGTTTGCGCGCCCGGTCTTCTGGGGACTGAAACATCTCTCACAGCTCGGTTTTCTGTGGCCACAACCAGACAACAGCTCAGAGTCTCAAATCCAATCTCTTGGGACTTATATCCTAACCAAGCTTCTGTTCTAATCATTTACTGTCTCATCTGATCTCTCTCTGATCTACACACACTCCTCACAGGCACAGCCGTCATCCTTTAGAACCTCTTCAACGTTGAGTGGGATGTCCTGCACAGAGTAGGTGCTCAAATATCTGACAAATTGAACGGAAGGTCTACCACATGCTGGGTATTTCTACCACAACCACAGAAACTCAAAGGTTTCTTCTCTTTTTTGAAATACCACTATAGAAATTAGTATCTTTTATTTCCCTGTTTAAGCTTCAGTGAATCACAAATTATCATTAGTTTCAATGAATGAATGGTCACAATAAAATATTTTTTACTACTTAATTTATAAAAGGGTGTGTGAAACCCACAAAAGGTTGGTCTGCAAGAGATAACTGCAAATATTTTCAGTGACTGTCAGAGATGTATTATGAGTACGACCTGTGTGCATGTGTTGCACCTGTTATTTATCTCGTCAAGCACTATTGACAATTCAAAGGTGAAGCAATAAAACAATGCGTAGATTATTACCAATGTGCAGTATACAGAATTTTAAGCTAAGACACAACTGTGACATAAAAGAATTCAAATATGACTCATACATGGAAGTAACTGTTTTCATTTCTAACCCTTTCAAATGGCAACATTTTGAAGTTAGATCTCTTTAAAGAGCTATCTTATGTTTTCCAGTGCATTCCACATTCCATTTACACGATGTGTAATACATCACGTACTTATTAACCAGAAATAAAATATTTTAAAAGGACAAGGTATTTTAGATTAAAAACACAATGACAGGGGCCGGCACGGTGGCGTAATGGTTAAGTGCTCGTGCTCTGCTCAGGCAGCCCAGGGTTCACAGGTTTGGATCCCGGGCGCGGACCAACGCATCACTTATCAAGCCATGCTGTAGTGGCGTCCCATATAAAATAGAGGAAGATGGGCAGGGATGTTAGCCCAGGGCCAATCTTCCTCAGCAAAAAGAGGAGGATTGGCAACAGATGTTAGCTCAGGGCTAATCTTCCTCACCAAAAAAAAAAAAAAAAAAAAAACTACAACGACAGGAACATCTTTTTATTGTGGTATCCACGATAGCTCAGTAAGGAAACTTGAACAGCAACACGATGTGAGCCAGTGGTGTCTTTTTTTTTTTTTTAATTGCAGTGACATTGGTTTATAACATGGTATAAATTTCAGGTGTACATCATTATACTTCTAATTCTGCATAGATTACATCATGTTCACCACCCAAATACTAATTACAACCCATCACCACACACGTGCCGAATTATCCCTTTCCAGCCAGTGTCTTAACCCATGAGCTGCAGAGCTGGGGTTGGGAAACAACCTCACCAACAGATGTGTTTCATTCTCTCCTACAGACAAGGAAGCAATTTATTTGCAGAAAATATGACTGATCATATATATGCAATTTAAACTCACAAACAGAAGCACACGTCCTCAAAGCAAACTACAACCAAGAGGAACAAAAGCAGAAAAAGAAAAAGCTGATAAGTTGAGTATAAGTATTTCCAGTTTTTCAGTTAAAATTTTTTGCTTTCCCAAGTAATAGCAGACACTAACAATTAGGACAAATTTATGAAAAAAAAAATCTTAAACCTGAGAAAATACTTTTAACAACTTAATTTTTTTTCGGTAAATTGAGAAAATACTATCAACAGATTTTTCCCACAGGACACAGTCTAGTGTATAGAACACCAGTGAGCCCAGGACACACTGTGCGACAACTTAAGAGGTTCATCCACTACATGCAAATGATCTGTTTTCATTACTTTTATAAACTGTACATCTGTCAGAAATTTTTTTTTTTTTTAAAGATTTTATTTATTTTATTTTTTCCCCCCAAAGCCCCAGTGGATAGTTGTGTGTCGCAGCTGCACATCCTTCTAGTTGCTGTATGTGGGACTCGGCCTCAGGATGAACGGAGAAGTGGTGCCTCGATGCGCACCCGGGATCCGAACCCGGGCCGCCAGCATCGCAGCGCGCGCACTTAACCACCAAGCCACAGGGCCGGCCCATGTCAGAAATTTAAAGTCTATTCTAAATAGTACATTATAGTCCACTAAGAATATTAACTTATTGAGACTTTCAAATCTGAACCCTGTTCAGTACCTGGTAGTACAGGGTCTAATCTGTACAACAGGCAGCACTTGACTTGGTTTTGAGTCTTACTTTGTCATTCACACCCCTAGGGGCACATATGTGACTAATGAAAGAACAGCTGCACATAGCATGGTGCTTCTATGTGCCAAGCCTGAAAAATACAAATACACACACACAGCTGCCTGTTGAATCTCTGTAACGAAACTGAGAGAGGGACTACTCATCATGCCACTCACAGATGGCAAAGAGTTACACGTGTCCAGTGTCCCAGAGCTGGAGCAAAGCCTTAGGTGTAATCGTCCTCAGTTTCTACTAGAAAAGCAATACATTCTTGTAAGAGATTCAAATCATGAAAAAATGAATAAACTAAAAGTTTCCTACCATGGATGGTGGCGATGGTTGCACAATAATGTGAATGTACTTAATGCCACTAAACTGTACACTTAAAACTGGTTAAAACGGCAAATTTGATGTCGTGTATTTCACCACAATAGAAGTATCCCTACCATACATTTTCTATGCTTATAAACATATGCTTAAAAATATGCTTGCAACAATGTATATACACAAATACAATACAAAAATAGTTTTCTTTACATAAAATTGTGTATCTGTGGTTGGGGGTAGACTGCATTCTATGATACCACATGGACCCATAATAGCGTATTTATTCAATCCTTCACTTGAGCATTGAGGTAGTTTCCAGACTTTTGCTATTACAAAAACAGAACAGTGAACATCCACACTCAACAGCAAGTCTGCACAGATCACTCTCTTCACTGCAGGTAACATGACTTCTGTCTCTACCACTGCACTGTAAACAACTCCATTCTCTTATTCCATTAAAAAATTTTTTTTACGTGGCCTTTTGAAATCTCAGAAAGGCACTCCACACAAGCAACAAAGTTGGGCTCTCTTTGTATCCCCTACCACAGTTAATGGAGCTGTCATGAAAGTCAACTCACACTGTGAGTCCAAAGGGCTGTGGGATCCTTTAGAATGAGATGGAGGAAGCGTCTGCTTAGGGAGAGCCATCTTTGTGGCCAGACTGACACTATTTTCAAGTGACTGGGGAAGATTTTCTCTTAGCTCCAAAAACCTCAGGTAAGGAACTTACTCCCAGCCTGACCAAGGCTTCTCTGTCCAGCCTAGTGATCGACACAGTTGACTCTGCTCTGCTCTCAAGTCTATAACATTCCTGCCACCCTCTTTGCTCTCTACCCCAGTCTTCTCCCCATATGATGCCCTAATATGATGGATTTCACCTCCATCAATTTTCCTTGTTACTACAAAAGCTAAGCATTCAAAGAATTATTGAAAAACAAATCCTTAACTTAAATGAAAACTTGTCAGCCTTGCAAAATCAGTAAATACAAGTTCCCAGTGAGTTTCCCCAATGGATTTCAATGTTGGCTAATATGACTTACTGTATTTGGCTTGCTAAACACGTTCTTTAAAAAAGATTGTTTCAATTCATTTTGAAGATTGTTGTGTTTTTTATTTTCAGTATTTAAAAAGGACAATTAAAGACTAGCTATCATTACCATCATTATAAACATCACATGTTGCCTGGATGTTTTTAAAGAATGTTTACATGTTATTGTTTTTGTCTCCATGAAAGATGGGAGGCCCATCTCCTTCCATTATCTCCAGTTACAAAAACTAAGGAGCAGAAAGATTAAAAGACTTGCTCAATGTCACTTCCCTCTGCACTAGAACAGACTCTTCTGACCCCTCAACTAGTGAGTGCTCTTTTCTTTAACCACAAAAAAAGTCATGTAATTACAACTGCACCAAATTACAAAGAAATCACTTAAAATTATGAAAACTAAAACCAAGTTTTAAATAGTTGATAGTTATTTGTACTAAGTGAGAGAAGCAGTGACATAAACAGTTCAAAACCCATTCAGTACCACAAACACTTCCTCATCTCCCCACTCCACTGTCCTCCTACCAGCCCAGATTCTTCTCAATTTACA